TTAAGAGCTTTTAAACTCGAGTTATAGGAGTTTAAAATGGCGCCTCGTGTGCGTTCATGGCGTCAGTGAGCAGGAACAGCCAATGAGCTGCTCCGCTCGCCAATCAATCATCACGCTCTGGCAGTAATGCCCGCCTTCTGCTGCCCAAAACCCGTTTGCTGTAGAAAAAGGAAACATACAGGTGAGATTTCTTTGCTTTTGTAGTGAAATACATTCTTCTACTCTCTAAAATTAAACAAACGTTCTGGCCGAGTGATTAGAAACTATTTTAAATTTTTAGCCGTTGAGCTCCATTCACACCCATTCATTGAGGACTCGCTCGCGGGCGCCCTCTGCTGTTCAGCAGTCCTGTTTTTGATATAACAGGGGGAATAGGAAGTGGCCAGGCTCCTCATAAACCAGCTCTGGTCTCTTGAGATGGAAGCTTTGTGACCTTTCATACAGCCAGGTGCCCCCCTATAGCCAATCATCTACCTGCACATAATATAACAATGGAAATAAAAGACACAAAATGGCTGCAAACAAACACAAAGAAAGGCTATTACGACCGGGGGTCGTAACACTTTTAAGTCTTGCTTACTGTCAGTGCTTTTTTCTCTGCTGTGAAACTCTGCTTGCTCAGTGAGCTTCTAAACTTGGATTGCTTTAAAGTTGCTTTGTGTCAAAATTGGTACTTTACAGGTGAAATTAAATTGAGTTGTTACCTTCGAAAGTAGTTCTTGGCTTGAGTCAGAAGTACAATGGACACTGGTTAATGTTACAGCGCGTCGTGTTACAATATCAATATTTTGTTAATCTCGATTTCTTTATTTCTTCTATGTATACTTTTCATTTTAATGGTGAACTGGAGCTGTTACTTTGTGGTTAAGTTCTCAAATATCTCTATTAATATATCATTATTGCAGGCAGCAAGTATTAAACCATGCTATGGGTTTTACATGGTAACTTGTGATGCGAATAATTTCATTCAATCAGATAAAATAGCCAACATAACTTTCTCTCTGATTTCAGTGGATCTGAGGAAAGGTCAGGCTCCCCCGTGTCCAGCTGTGTGTCCTTGAAGAGTGACCAGTCCATGATGGAACCTTACACCTTCAAAGGAGGATCAGGCCCTCAGGAAAGGTGCTCCTCTCTTTCACTTTTGCTCTTCATATTTCCATCTCTGATGAAACGGCACTCCACAGAATCGTTAGACACAGTGCAAGGCAGATGTCTGTAATATAAACAATGCAAGCATATTGAAGAGATTCTCTCTTATTCAGCCTTACTGGATCATTTTGTCAGACTAGATTTTGGAAGAGGGTGACCTGGATCAAATTTACAAAGGTGTGGAAAACTCTGCTTATGCTTTCTTTCTTGTGGATTTCTGACAAAGCACAAATAATAGACCATGAGAATGAAATCAAGTTGTTCAATTAATTGACCGTTCACTTTTCAGCATCACAACAACCCGAACCAGTAACATTAAGTGAAACCATAGATGAAGTTGGAGGAAATGAAAATAAAGACATCATATAAACACACAGGCAGACATGCCAACCTTTAAGCATTTTGCATAGCAGGTACGCATGTTGACATAAACGTACACTGATAAGATTTGTCACTTTACGTAAAAAGCTGGTGACACTTGTGAATTTAATTGTGAATGTGCAGTACTCAGACCTAACAGCAAGAGGCAGCAGCGTTTAGCATTCAGAAAGAAAAGAAGAAGAGTATCTAATGTCAATCATTCAAAAGACTGCAAATCGACAGCAACACGAAATGTTTTTTATCCCTCTCGTTCCCCTCCTCACTCCGTCTGGCTTGTTCCACAAGGGAGGATGGTGCTTTTAGCTCCTTAGCAGAGATAAATGGGCTTGAGTGGATGTGGAAAGTTGAAGCCGTGAATTGAGCTAATTTAATGCAGACCTGCCAAATTTGGGAAAATATAATAACTTTAAGTAATAAATGTGATGATATGGTGGTGCTTGGGGAAATGACCATGTGGTAAGTGAAGGCTTTTTTTTTTAAACTGTTACACCACTGTGCATGATATTTTCCCAAGTTCAGCAGGTCTGGAACAGACTCTCATTTCTGCATTTTTACACCAGCACATAGAGAAAAAACACACACTAAAAGGACCAAAAATAAACCATTAGTATAAAAGCTATTAAGCCACATACATATAAAGAGAATACAGTTGCCACACCAGAGCTTTTGGTACAAAACCCTGGATCTTTTTGAAAGCTGTCATGCTGTATAATGAAATCTCAAGCCAGTGGATGGTGCACTTCCCTACACACTCAGCTCAAAGCTGCAAGTGACTATTTTTGTTCTCTCTTTTTCTTTTTAGCTTTGGCGGCTCATCATATTCTTGGGAAGTTCTTCCTGTTGAGTCTAGCTTTCTCTCAGTTGTTCTTTGTCATGATCATAGGAAGTTCTTCCTTTTGTTACGACTTGTAACAGAAAATGAGAGTGGGCTAACCCCAAACCTCTATTAAAAAAAATAAATAAATACACAGACAAGTTCTCAAAAGCTGCCTGCGGGTGTTTAGATTAGCATTCACAAAAGGTGATTTTGTCCAGTAACAAATTTTTCTCTTAAACTACAACAGTTAACAGACCTGCTCAAAAGCAGGCACATAGCATAATGGCTATCAAAGTATAAAGAGCATGCGGGCAGTTTTCATAAAAGTTCAAATTTAACAATATCCTACAAATACAAGTTCATGATTTCTAAAACAGTAGCTTCAAAAATGTCACAGTCCACACTTAACGGTAAAATAAAGCCATTTGAGGAGGAACTAATATACATATACTCACAAGACTGAAAAAACACGACTGGCATGAGAACCAGCATCTTGCCGTTCAGATGGAGGAACAATTTGGCTGACAAGTGCACCACTAATGAAGCAGGCAAGGTAGTATGCATGATCAAAACTAGCAGCACCAGTGCCTCAGAACTCCAATCCCAGTGCACAATTGTGCAAACTGCATTGCATTCTCCAGTCACCGCACTGCATTCAACAGCCCCAATGGAGAAGGAGACAATGCTGAAACAACACTTCTAAATCACCAAACAGAAAGCAAAAAGGTTGTAGTTCATTAAACCACTAACAAGACTGTGACAATTAGATTTCTATCTCTCACAAAGGGACAGCAAAAAAAAACATTTGGCCAAATTTCACAATACACAGATCCAATTACTCACATACACACCTCCAACCACCAAAGGAAAACTGCCAGCAAGACTACCGAAACAAATACTTACCGGACAAAATCAAGAAATGGATGAGCCCCCAATTCTGTGACGACCCGGTCTAGGGTCAGGCCATAACAGAAAATGAGAGTGGACGCTCTCCCCAGACCTGCTGCCAGACCAGACACTGGACACCAATTAAACTGGCAAACTGCAGGTTTATTTAGACCTTGGTAAAAAGTATGCAAGTTTGCAAGTGGCTAAACTAAACGCAAGTGTTGGCTTCAGGGATGAGCATATGCCAAAATAACAAACAAAACTACTAATGATGACAAAAACACTAACAACACCCGAAAGCAAAACAGAACAAAACACAAAGGGCTGCTCTGTCTCCCTGCTTTAAAACCAGGGGAAATGGCAGCCAAAACAAAATGGCACTCGTCCCTACTTTCCAAGCGTTCACAAGAGTTTCTGAAAATCTAACAAAAACCTTCACAAACTTTACACACAAAGTGAAGTGAAGAGCCCCAGGCTGGTCTGGACAGGTGTTCTTCCAGGTCCGGTCAGAGGGGAGAAAGCCCTGAACGTCTCTTGAGCAGAGAACTTGTAGAGAGGAGAATTTCCACTCTGCAATGTCTTCCAGGTTTCTCAAACGCTAGAGGGCGCTCCCGAGTGAGTCCAAAATGAATGGGTTGATATGAAGCATTTGAGCAAAATCATAGTTTATAAATGCTGAAACATTTTTAATGTAAAATAATGAAATCATTTCCTGAACAGCATAAAACATTTTAACACTGCTGTTATATTTTAAGAGCTTTTAAACTCGAGTTATAGGAGTTTAAAATGGCGCCTCGTGTGCGTTCATGGCATCAGTGAGCAGGAACAGCCAATGAGCTGCTCCGCTCGCCAATCAATCATCACGCTCTGGCAGTAATGCCCGCCTTCTGCTGCCCAAAACCCGTTTGCTGTAGAAAAAGGAAACATACAGGTGAGATTTCTTTGCTTTTGTAGTGAAATACATTCTTCTACTCTCTAAAATTAAACAAACGTTCTGGGCGAGTGATTAGAAACTATTTTAAATTTTTAGCCGTTGAGCTCCATTCACACCCATTCATTGAGGACTCGCTCGCGGGCGCCCTCTGCTGTTCAGCAGTCCTGTTTTTGATATAACAGGGGGAATAGGAAGTGGCCAGGCTCCTCATAAACCAGCTCTGGTCTCTTGAGATGGAAGCTTTGTGACCTTTCATACAGCCAGGTGCCCCCCTATAGCCAATCATCTACCTGCACATAATATAACAATGGAAATAAAAGACACAAAATGGCTGCAAACAAACACAAAGAAAGGCTATTACGACCGGGGGTCGTAACACTTTTAAGTCTTGCTTACTGTCAGTGCTTTTTTCTCTGCTGTGAAACTCTGCTTGCTCAGTGAGCTTCTAAACTTGGATTGCTTTAAAGTTGCTTTGTGTCAAAATTGGTACTTTACAGGTGAAATTAAATTGAGTTGTTACCTTCGAAAGTAGTTCTTGGCTTGAGTCAGAAGTACAATGGACACTGGTTAATGTTACAGCGCGTCATGTTACAATATCAATATTTTGTTAATCTCGATTTCTTTATTTCTTCTATGTATACTTTTCATTTTAATGGTGAACTGGAGCTGTTACTTTGTGGTTAAGTTCTCAAATATCTCTATTAATATATCATTATTGCAGGCAGCAAGTATTAAACCATGCTATGGGTTTTACATGGTAACTTGTGATGCGAATAATTTCATTCAATCAGATAAAATAGCCAACATAACTTTCTCTCTGATTTCAGTGGATCTGAGGAAAGGTCAGGCTCCCCCGTGTCCAGCTGTGTGTCCTTGAAGAGTGACCAGTCCATGATGGAACCTTACACCTTCAAAGGAGGATCAGGCCCTCAGGAAAGGTGCTCCTCTCTTTCACTTTTGCTCTTCATAATTTCCATCTCTGATGAAACGGCACTCCACAGAATCGTTAGACACAGTGCAAGGCAGATGTCTGTAATATAAACAATGCAAGCATATTGAAGAGATTCTCTCTTATTCAGCCTTACTGGATCATTTTGTCAGACTAGATTTTGGAAGAGGGTGACCTGGATCAAATTTACAAAGGTGTGGAAAACTCTGCTTATGCTTTCTTTCTTGTGGATTTCTGACAAAGCACAAATAATAGACCATGAGAATGAAATCAACTTGTTCAATTAATTGACCGTTCACTTTTCAGCATCACAACAACCTGAACCAGTAACATTAAGTGAAACCATAGATGAAGTTGGAGGAAATGAAAATAAAGACATCATATAAACACACAGGCAGACATGCCAACCTTTAAGCATTTTGCATAGCAGGTACGCATGTTGACATAAACGTACACTGATAAGATTTGTCACTTTACGTAAAAAGCTGGTGACACTTGTGAATTTAATTGTGAATGTGCAGTACTCAGACCTAACAGCAAGAGGCAGCAGCGTCTAGCATTCAGAAAGAAAAGAAGAAGAGTATCTAATGTCAATCATTCAAAAGACTGCAAATCGATAGCAACACGAAATGTTTTTTATCCCTCTCGTTCCCCTCCTCACTCCGTCTGGCTTGTTCCACAAGGGAGGATGGTGCTTTTAGCTCCTTAGCAGAGATAAATGGGCTTGAGTGGATGTGGAAAGTTGAAGCCGTGAGTTCAGCTAATTTAATGCAGACCTGCCAAATTTGGGAAAATATAATAACCTTAAGTAATAAATGTGATGATATGGTGATGTGTGGGGAAATTACCATGTGGTAAGTGAAGGCTTTTTTTTTTTTTAATTGTTGCACCACTGTGCATTATATTTTTCCAAGTTCAGCAGGTCTGGAACAGACTCTCATTTCTCCATTTTTACACCAGCACATAGAGAAAAAACACATACTAAAAGGACCAGAAATAAGCCATTAGAATAAAAGCTATTAAGCCACATACATATAAGGAGGACAGAGTGGCCACAGCGGAGCTTTTGGTACAAAACCCTGGATCTTTTTGAAAGCTCTCACACTGTATAATGAAATCTCAAGCCAGTGGATGGTGCACTTCCCTACACACTCAGCTCAAAGCTGCAAGTGACTATTTTTGTTCTCTCTTTTTCTTTTTAGTTTTGGCTGCTCATCATATTCTTGGGAAGTTCTTCCTATTGAGTCTAGCTTTCTCTCAGTTGTTCTTTGTCATGATCATAGGACGTTCTTCCTTTTGTTATGACTCGTAACAGAAAATGAGAGTGGGCTAAACCCAAACCTCTATAAAAAAAAAAATAAATAAATGAATAAAAAAAAACACAGACAAGTTCTCAAAAGCTGCCTGCAGGTATTTAGATTAGCATTCACAAAAGGTGATTTTGTCCAGTAACAAATTTTCCACTTAAACTACAACAGTTAACAGACCTGCTCAAAAGCAGGCACATAGCATAATGGCTATCAAAGTATAAAGAGAATGCGGGCAGTTTTCATAAAAGTTCAAATTTAACAATATACTACAAATACAAGTTCATGATTTCTAAAACAGTAGCTTCAGTAATGTCACAGTCCACACTTAACGGTAAAGTAAAGCCATTTGAGGAGGAACTAATATACGTATACTCACAAGACTGAAAAAACACGACTGGCATGAGAACCAGACGGAGGAACAATTTGGCTGACAAGTGCACCACTAATGAAGCAGGCAAGGTAGGATGCATGCTCAAAACTAGCAACACCAGTGCCTCAGAACTCCAATCCCAGTGCACAATTGTACAAACTGCATTGCATTCTCCAGTCACCGCACTGCATTCAACAGCCCCAATGGAGAAGGAGACAATGCTGAAACAACACTTCTAAATCACCAAACAGAAAGCAAAAAGGTTGTAGTTCATTAAACCACTAACAAGACTGTGACAATTAGATTTCTATCTCTCACAAAGGGACAGCAATAAAAAACATTTGGCCAAATTTCATAATACACAGATCCAATTACTCACATACACACCTCCAACCACCAAAGGAAAACTGCCAGCAAGACTACTAAAACAAAGTCAAGAAATGGATGAGCCCCCAGTTCTGTTACGACCCGGTCTAGGGTCAGGCCGTAACAGAAAATGAGAGTGGACGCTCTCCCCAGACCTGCTGCCAGACCAGACACTGGACACCAATTAAACTGGCAAACTGCAGGTTTATTTAGACCTTGGTAAAAAGTATGCAAGTTTGCAAGTGGCTAAACTAAATGCAAGTGGTGGCTTCAGGGTTGATCATATCCCAAAATGACAAACAAAACTGCTGATGATGAAAAAAACTAACATCACCTGAAAGCAAAACAAAACAAAATGCAAAGGGCTGCTCTATCTCCCTGCTTTAAAACCAGGGGAAATGGCAGCCAAAACAAAATGGCACTCGTCCCTACTTTCCAAGTGTTCACAAGAGTTTCTGAAAATCTAACAAAAACCTTCACAAACTTTACACACAAAGTGAAGTGAAGAGCGCCGGGCTGGTCTGGACAGGTGTTCTTCCAGGTCCGGTCAGAGGGGAGAAAGCCCTGAACGTCTCTTGAGCAGAGAACTTGTAGAGAGGAGAATTTCCACTCTGCAATGTCTTCCAGGTTTCTCAAACACTTGAGGGCGCTCCTGAGTGAGTGCAAAACGAATGGGTTGATATGAAGCATTTGAGCAAAATCATAGTTTATAAATGCTTAAACAGTTTAAATGTAAAATAATGAAATCATTTCCTGAACACAGCACAGCACAAAACATTTAACACTGCTGTTATATTTTTAAGAGCTTTAAAACTCGAGTTATAGGAGTTTAAAACGGTGCCTCATGTAGGTTCATGACATCTGTGAGCACGAACAGCCAATGAGCTGCTCCACTCGCCAACCAATCATCACTCACTAGCACTAATGCCCGCCTTCTGCTGCCCAAAACCTGTTTGCTGTAGAAAAACGGAAACATACAGGTGAGTTTTCTTAGCTTATTTAGTGAAATACATCCTTCTACTGTCTAAAATTCAAGGAAAGTTCTGGCCGAGTGATTAGAAACTATTTTAACTTTTCGTTTTTAGCTGTTTAGCTCCATTCACTCCCATTCATTGAGGACTCGCTCGTGGGCGCCCCCTCTGCTGATTAGCAGTTCTGTTTTTGATATAACAGGGGGAATAGGAAGTGTCCAGGCTCCTCATAAACCTGCTCTGGTCTCTTGAGATGGAAGCTTTGTGACCTTTCATACAGCCAGGTGCCCCCCTATAGCCAATCATCTACCTGCACATAATATAACAATGGAAATAAAAGACACAAAATGGCTGCAAACAAACACAAAGAAAGGCTATTACGACCGGGGGTCGTAACACTTTTAAGTCTTGCTTACTGTCAGTGCTTTTTTCTCTGCTGTGAAACTCTGCTTGCTCAGTGAGCTTCTAAACTTGGATTGCTTTAAAGTTGCTTTGTGTCAAAATTGGTACTTTACAGGTGAAATTAAATTGAATTGTTACCTTCGAAAGTAGTTCTTGGCTTTATTTCTTCTATGTATACTTTTCATTTTGATGGTGAACTGGAGCTGTTACTTTGTGGTTAAGTTCTCAAATATCTCTATTAATATATAAATACTGCAGGCAGCAAGTATTAAACCATGCTATGGGTTTTACATGGCAACTTGTGATGCGAATAATTTCATTTAATTAGATAAAATAGCCAACATAACTTTCTCTCTGATTTCAGTGGATCTGAGGAAAGGTCAGGCTCCCCCGTGTCCAGCTGTGTGTCCTTGAAGAGTGACCAGTCCATGATGGAACCTTACACCTTCAAAGGAGGATCAGGCCCTCAGGAAAGGTGCTCCTCTCTTTCACCATCTCTGATGAAACGGCACTCCACAGAATCGTTAGACACAGTGCAAGGCAGATGTCTGTAATATAAACAATGCAAGCATATTGAAGAGATTCTTTCTTATTCAGCCTTACTGGATCATTTTGTCGGACTAGATTTTGGAAGAGGATGACTTGGATCAAATTTACAAATGTGTGGAAAACTCTCCTTATGCTTTCTTTCTTGTGGATTTCTGACAAAGCACAAATAATAGACCATGAGAATGAAATCAACTTGTTCAATTAATTGACCGTTCACTTTTCAGCATCACAACAACCCGAACCAGTAACATTAAGTAAAACCATAGATGAAGCTGGAGGAAATGAAAATAAACACATCGTATAAACACACAGGCACACATGCCAACCTTTAAGCATTTTGCATAGCAGGTACCCATGTTAACATAAACGTACACTGATCAGATTTGTCACTTTACATAAAAAGCTGGTGACACTTGTGAATTTAATTGTGAATGTGCAGTACTCAGACCTAACAGCAAGAGGCAGCAGCGTCTAGCATTCAGAAAGAAAAGAAGAAGAGTATCTAATGTCAATCATTCAAAAGACTGCAAATCGATAGCAACACGAAATGTTTTTTATCCCTCTCGTTCCCCTCCTCACTCCGTCTGGCTTGTTCCACAAGGGAGGATGGTGCTTTTAGCTCCTTAGCAGAGATAAATAGGCTTGAGTGGATGTGGAAAGTTGAAGCCATGAGTTCAGCTAATTTAATGCAGACCTGCCAAATTTGGGAAAATATAATAACCTTAAGTAATAAATGTGATGATATGGTGATGTGTGGGGAAATTACCATGTGGTAAGTGAAGGCTTTTTTTTTTAATTGTTACACCACTGTGCATGATATTTTCCCAAGTTCAGCAGGTCTGGAACAGACTCTCATTTCTGCATTTTTACACCAGCACATAGAGAAAAAACACACACTAAAAGGACCAAAAATAAACCATTAGTATAAAAGCTATAAAGCCACATACATATAAGGAGGACAGAGTTGCTACACCGGAGCTTTTGGTACAAAACCCTGCATCTTTTTGAAAGCTCTCACACTGTATAATGTGTGATATAAGGCTTGAATGCAGCTGCTTAGCCAGGGAAACCCATTCCATGAAGCTCTCTACGCTGTTCTTGAGCTAATCTATAGGCCACATGAAGTTTGGAGGTCTGTAGCGATTGACTCTGCAGAAAGTTGGTGACCTCTGCGCACTATGTGCCTCAGTATCCGCTGACCCCGCTCTGTCATTTTATGTAGCCGACCACTTCGTGGCTGAGTTGCTGTTGTTCCTAATCACTTCCACTTTGTTATAATACCACTGACAGTTGACTGGGGAATATTTAGTAGTGAGTAAGTTTCACGACTGGGAGCGACCCACTCTTTTACTAATGTTTGTAGAAGCAGTCTGCATGCCTAGGTGCTTGGTTTTATACACCTGTGGCCATGGAAGTGATTGGAATACCTGAATTCCATGATTTGGATGGGTGACTGAATACTTTTGGCAGTATAGTGTATATGTTTAAATCACATTTTCTGTAAAGCTGCTTTGCAACACCGTCTATTAGTGTAAAAATCAAAGCCTTGTTTTACATTCATGCTTCTTAACTGTTTTTATAAGCAGGTTGAGAATAATTAAGTCATTTTGCAATTAACTGCATTTTATCAGTAAAATTGTGAACTTACCGTTGTCTTTTTTTAGTGAAATCAATGGAAGGTCAAACCCCCGTACACCCAGCTTTGTGTTCGTGAAGAGTGAACAGTCAACACCAAAACCTCCAAACTTACAAGAGGGATCATCCCTTCAGAAAAGGTATTTCTTTCACTTCCTCTTGCTCTTCATGCTTAGAAACGTCTTCACGATGGAGAATTGTTGGGCTCGTTTCATAGTACAATTTTATTTTAGTACGATTTTTTTTTACCATTCAGGGATATTTTATAAGCGCATGCAGGGGTAACGCTTTATAATTATGATATTTTATGAGACGTTTATCAACTATTACTTCATAATTAATAAATCATGACCCATTTAAGTATTTACAGTTTTTATGTAAGACACACATAAACCATTGCTTAATCATGTTTTCCAAATGACTTAGGTATATGTAAATTATCTGTAATATTTCTGCAGCCCCTAATCTAAAGTGATGTCCTGTTCTTTGTTCCACCCTCTCCTGTCTCATACCATGTACCCCCGCTTTATCATTGGTGCACCCACCTGTGTGTTACCTCTCCTTTCCCGGGTTTACAGAAATATTGTTTTCGTGTCATTTATGTACAACTCCAAATCCAAAATCCATTTAAATAAATGTAAACAAAATGTAAACAACAGAATGCAATTTCACAATAGAACATAGAACACATATCAGATGTTGAAAGTGAGACATTTTACCATTTCAAGAAAAACATTAACTCATTTAGAACTTGATGGCAGCAATGCACCTCAAAAAAGTTGGGACAGCGGCAACAGTGGCTGGTAAAGTTGTGTTATGCTAAAAACACACCTGGTGGTTAATTGGCAACAGGTCAATAACATGATGGGAATAAAAAGAGCATAAAAATAAAAAGGCGGAGTCTTTCAGAAGTAAAGATGAGGAGGGGTTCACCACTCTGTGAAAGACAAGCCAGCAAATATGCAACAATTCAAGAATAACGTTTCTCAATGTAAAATAGCAAAGAACTTTTGCTTTTCATCATCTACGGTACATAATATCATTAAAAGACGTAGAGAATCTGGAGAAAACTCTATGTGAGGGACAAGGCCAAAAACCAATACTGGCTGGCCGTGATCGTCAGGCCCTCAGGCAGCACTGCATTAAAAAGAGACATCGATTCTATACTGGAAATCACTGCATGGGCTCAGAAACACTTCCAGAAATCACTGTCTGTGAACACAGTTCCCTGTGCAATCCACAAATGCAAGTTAAAGCTGTATCATGCAAAGAAGAAGCCATATATAAACAGGACCCTGAAATCCTGGCAACTTCTCTGGGCCCAAGCTCATTTAAGATGGACTGAGGCAAAGTGACAAAATGTCCTGTGGTACAAATAAATTTAAAATTTGAAATTCTTTTTTGGAAATAATGGACGCTGCATTCTCTGGGCTAAAGACCTCCCGGCTTGTTATTAGCACACAGTTCAAAATCCAGCATCCATGATGGTTTAGGGGAGCATTAGTGCACATGGCATGGGTGTCTTGCACATCTGTGAAAGCACCATTAATGCTAAACAAAATATACAGTTTTGGCAACATATGCTCACATCCAGACAATGTCTTTTTCAGGGAAGGACTTGATTATTTCAGCAAGACAATAAACCACATACTGCCTCCATCACAACAGCATGGTTTCGCAGAAGAAGAGTCCAGGTGCTGAACTGACCTGCCTGCAACCCAGTCCTTTCACCAATAGGAAATATTTGGCTCATCATGAAACAAAAATCAAGCAAAGAAGGCCCAGGACTGTCGAGCAGCTAGAATCCTACATCAGACAAGAATTGTTTATAAAATAGCGGCCAAAATGAAATATGATAAAATACATAAGTTTTAAGTAAATAATAATAATTATTATTATTATTATTATTAATAATAATCAATGTAAACAAGTATTCTGCTAAGAAATGTAGTTCCTTCATACTATAGTATCATTGCCAAGCAACCATGTACCACTGAATGAGGAGTATGTTCAGTCGCCCATCGCTGTGTATCGAACCAGTTCATTAACTCTTTAACTTTTTGTTGTATAACAATGAACATATCATAACTCATCATTGTTTAATGCAAAATCCCTGGCTCCTGCACCTCAACCGTGCACAATATAGTTAATTAATAGTTATTTGCAATTCAGCCACATCCATACTCGAAATATGTTGCACTGGAAGGCTGAAAAAGCTATAATTTAAAAACTTACTTAGCTATAATTTAAAAACTAAAAACTTAGCACAGTTTTTAAGGAGTACTAGCCATTTGCGTCACAGCCTAGGTTTGACGCTACTTCTGACTGAAACACAGATATTTGAAGCGTGTAAGACCTTCAGATTTTATATTTTAGTTTTCAGTGAATCATAAGTTCCTTGTTTAAGGTCTGTGATATTAATAATGGTGTGAGCATGTCTGCATTAAAACCCCATTCCCCATGAAATTGCTGTAATCGCACAACCTCAAGTGATTTATTGCTTGTATAAAATGGCAACAAAATGTTCAATTAATAAATGTATTTATTTAAAAAATAACCATTCTTCTGCCACACAGTGTAGCCTGTTAACAGTAAGCATTGTTGCTAGGAAACATGAAGGCAAAGATTAAGCTACTGTTTGTTTAGCTGGCTATAGAACGGCAACAACAATGTGACGGAAACTCCAGAATTCTACCAATGTAAACTTTGCTCGCTAAGCAGCGTAACAGCTACAGCTGATACTATTTTTAGACAGAACACCTGCTTAATGATTAGGATTACTGTTTATATTAATCTGGACGTTTCCATTGATATTGCATGACTTGAAATAGTGTTCAGCCACGTTTGCACTTTTCTTTGCTGGTGGGCTGGAATGGTTTGGCTCTCAGCATGGGCATTTTGGTAATTCGGTGTGAGCAGATGTTACTCCAGTATCTCCACTCACTCAAGTTACGGTGCCAGTAAGACTGCAGCAATGACTCACTTGGGTGGACAGTTACAGCCATAATAATAGGCCAGCATCAGAAGGTTTCTGCACAGTTGTACTTCGCAGACATTTATTGGTGTATACAGTTTTAATGCCAGCTGCCTTGCAAATTCTGGGCAGCATGGAGCCAAGGAAGTTTACCCCCATGGGCTCTCTGCTGTACCTAAGGAGAAAATAAATTTTACATAACATCACAAATGCTAGCCTACATACTGACTACCAAGTTTTGCCACTGCAAACACCCCTTGGAAAGAAAAAATGGAGTTATAACGTGAGCAAATAGATCTGTCTAAAAGTGTTAAGGAACTAGCCTACTATAAATACCATATCATTGGTCACAACGGTCTTCTTTGGATGGAGATAGAAGGCCAGTGGATTCAGAAGAAGAAGGGAGAGATATTTTTCCAAAGAGCAAACATAGCATGAATCCCTGACAGAATAAATCCCTGCCAGCTCTCTCGCTCTTTTGTTCGAGCCTTTGTGGTTTTTTGGTGATCTCATTAAAAGTCAAGCTGGCATACTTTAAATCATCTTCGTCCTTACAAATGATTCAGGTTTCAGTTGCCAGTTTCCTTTGTTGGCTGTCCGTCCAAAATGCAGTTCCACATCAAACCAGACCTTGTTAACAAGCCCCACTGGTGTGTTTGGGTTGAGTACTTCTGAGTTTTTGATTTTGATGAAATCTCTATCCGTTACAGCCAGGCAGTGTGCTGACTTGTCTTGACTCTCTCCACAAAGTTTTTTTTTTTTTGTTAACTAGTCCCATGAACACGTTGTTACTAGTGGTAAAGACGGGATCTTTCAGAATACACCAAGACAGATTAAGTGGTGGGTCACTGATATACCTGTTCGGTCCTGCACATAAGTGAACAAAACTGCTGAAACCATATGATTCACCTTTCCCATTCTTAACTGTAGCATAAAATTGACGAAGAATCTGGTTCAGCTCTGTTTTAGTGACTTTTTCAAAATCAACAATCACGTTTTTCTCAGCACACCAGGTCAAAAAACAGCAAATGGCCCACATCGTCTGCTTCACCGTGCATTCTTCATTTCGTATTTTTTTTTACATTTCTATTTTTCCTGCTGTTAATTTCAGCATGTCTTTTTTTCAGTCTCCTCAGTTCTGGCCATCTCTTTACACCACTTGTTCACTGTCAACACACCCAATAAAACAAAATCGACCTCAAAAGTTTCCCTTTCTAAGTGTGCTGCAAATTACAGCCTAACTGACAGGATTTCAAAACCTGGCACATTAATACAGAATTCAGTTGTGAAGTGGTCGTAGGTATGGGTATATTGTAGATTTTACAATGGCTCTGAACACAGTTTAGCCATTTAGATTTTAGGACCGCAACTACCCATTTTATAATACTTCCTAAGCACTTTGTCTAATAAGTGTTTAATACACTTTAAGCAATAATCTTTAACATGAATCCATGTTCATATGACACGGCGGCACGGTGGCGCAGTGGGTAGCGCTGTCGCCTCACAGCAAGAAGGGCCTGGGTTCGATTCCCGGCCGGGTGACCAGGGTCGTTTCTGTGTGGAGTTTGCATGTTCTCCCCGTGTCTGCGTGGGTTTCCTCCCACAGTCCAAAAACATGCAGTCAGGCCAACTGGACATGCTAAATTGCCCCTAGGCGTGAGTGAGTGTGTGGATGTATGTGTCTGTTTGTCTGCCCTGCGATGGACTGGCGACCTGTCCAGGGTGTATCCTGCCTTCCGCCCGATGACAGCTGGGATAGGCTCCAGCACCCCACCGCGACCCAGAAGGATAAGCGGTTTAGATGATGGATGGATGGATGGATGTTCATATGACCTGATCTAGAAGTATCAGTATCATTGCTACTTCAATGCCCCTCCTGCGCAAAGACAAACGTTCTTTTTGCTGTAGTTTTGATATTTGTACCAAGACTGGGTTGTGTTCATAACTACACTGGTAACACTTTACAATAATTTCATAGTTAACAAGTAACTAATCAGCAACTAAACAGGAATTAATGAAAAGTGCTGCATTAACACTTAAGTAACTACTCTTAACTACCAAGGACTACTAGTTAACTACTCAGTAGGTAATAGTGAACTAACGATTAGGGTAGGTTACTATTAACTAAACAATAACTATTGGGGCCCATAGAAAATTAGTTAGTAA